TTCCCTCTTCCGTCTAAATCTTTCCCCTTCCGATCCTTTCCTTATAAGGGTGGACGAATACTGGAATTACTTCTGCTTTTCACAGAGGACGGGACACAAAAGGAAGAGATTTCCCTTTCTTGTGCGTCCCTTCCTCTGGCAGTTCTTTCCCCTTCCCATTCCTTAAAAAATGGTGGTAAGGAAAGGACTAAAAGTAGTCCCTCTCACAGATAAAAATTGTTGACTTTGATTTAATTACAACTAAACTCACCAAAACCAGTATTCTGTGTCTGTCCACCCAACATGGGCGTAGTATTCGGTTTGCCAAAGTTACTGAAGAAACCGGCACTCGAGGTGTTCGTACCGAAACCAGTTGACAAATTGCCGAATGCTGAAAAAAAATTTAATTTTTATAATTTCATACATTTTTTACAGAACATTCAGTATGACAGTCTGATGAGTGTGCGTCCCGGAGGCCTAATTTTAGTCCTCTTTTCCCTTCCCACCCTTTTTCTTAAAAGGAAAGGATGGGAAGTGGAAGTGGACTTTCCGGATGAGAGGATGCATGGGAAGGGAAGATATTATCTTTCTGTGCATCCTCTCCTCCGTCGATTAAAGGTAGACAACGCATATGCAGTTGCGTATGTCTATGGGCAACGCTCACTTTGCTATTTCAGTGATTTCAGGTGGCCGCTCGCTAGTTTGCCACCGTGTTCATGTTGATATAAAAAAATAATCTCACCAGAAGGTGCAGAAGTGCCAAAAGTGGGTGCTGTGGTCTGCTGCGGCTTTGCAGTGAACAGTCCACCACCGAACCCACCAAAGCCGGTACTAGCGGGAGTCGAACCGAATCCAGTGGTGGCTGGCTTGCCGAACAAACCAGTACTTTGTTGCTGGAATTAATATACAATTATTATTCACTAACTGTCGCCTGAGATTCCATCCGCGCGAAATAAAAGAAAAATTGTCCCTTCCCCTTCCCATCCTTCATAGGAAGGGAAAATATATTAATATTAGAACACCAAAACAGTTCGGAGCATTTAGTAATAATTGCTACTAATATTATAAATGCGAATGTTTAGATGTATGTTTGAATGTATCTCCAGAACAGCTGCATGGATCTCTTTAAAATTTGTGATACATATAGAACATAGTCTGGAAGAATCGCGCCGTCGGAGTCGCGGGCTTCAGCTAGTATTTACATAAGGGAATAAAATGTATGATTAGAAATCCCAAATCTTAATTGGTATCAAGATTTTTTTTATTACTAATAATTTTATAAATTCTACGTTTTAAACGATTTTTTTTAGAAATTTTCGAAGGAACCTTGTCTATTATTTATACTAACTTGGTTCTGCGTGGTCGCACCAAAAGCACCAAAACTGGGCGTCGTTGTACCGAAAGTAGGTGCTTGAGTTGTCGATGCACCAAAAATACCTGTAC